CAGGCAGGTGAGGAGGAAGTCAGTGCCCCTTTCCCCCTCTCTCCTGCTCCATCTCCCAGCCCAGCATGGCCCCCGGCTGCAGGACAACCCCGCTGCCGACGCCGTCCTGCCGGGGACGCACTGGGGGGATCTCCTTCCCCTTCCCTCTGGCACAGAGGCAAATCCCATCCTCTCCTTGTCCTTCCTCCCCCAGACAAGGAGCTGAGGATGGAGACCAGGGAGGACAAATCCCTGGTGTAGAACCTCATGGAAGAGGCCGTTTTGAGCAGCCCCACAGAGCAGGAATCCAATGGGGAGGAAAAGCCCCAGAGATCCTGCAGGAGGAGGGGCTCCAAACCCATCCCAGGGTGCTCTGAGGAGGAAAGACCCACCCTGTGCCGGGAAGGCGGCCGGAGATCCAGCCAGGGCTCTGAGCTGGTGGTGCATGAGCAGCTTCAGGAAGGGGAGAAGCCCTACAAGTGCTTGGAGTGTGGGAAGAGCTTCAGCCAGAGCAGCAAACTGATCTGCCACCAGATGATCCACACTGGGGAATGGGCCTACGAATGTAGGGAATGTGAGAAGGGCTTCAGCTGCAACTCCAAACGCATCATCCACCAGCGCATCCACACTGGGGAGAGGCCCTATGAGTGTCCTGAGTGTGGGAAGAGGTTTCATAGCAGCTCCCATCTCCTCAAGCACCAGCAGATTCACACGGATGAGAGGCCCTTCCGCTGCCCCGACTGTGGGGAGGGCTTCAAGCGAAACTCCCACCTCATCAGGCACCAGCGCATCCACACTGGGGAGAGGCCCTACGAGTGTGGGGAATGTGGGAAGAGCTTCAGCCACAGCTCCAGCCTGATCCGCCACCAGAGGATCCACACTGGGGAACGTCCCTATGAGTGTGGGGAATGTGGGATAACCTTCAGATGGAGGTCCCAACTCATCATTCACCAGATGATCCACACTGGGGAGAGGCCCTATGAGTGTCCTGAGTGTGGGAAGAGGTTTCAGACCAGCTCCGCTCTCCTCCTGCACCAGCGGATTCACACAGATGAGAGGCCCTTCCACTGCCCTGACTGTGGGGAGGGCTTCAAGCACAACTCCACCCTTGTCAGGCACCGGCACATCCACACTGGGGAGAGGCCCTACGAGTGTCCCCAGTGTGGGAAGAGCTTCTCAGACAGGTCTAACTTGACCAGACATCAACGGAGGCACCGGTAAGGGAAGCCCTGCGAGTGCCCCAAGTGCAGGAAGAGCTTTGTGCACTGCCCCAGCTTCATCCCCCATCAGTGGACCCACATTCCCAATGATCTGTGTTGGGACGACACTGGGCTGGTGGTCATTTTATTTTGGTTCTATCTTTTGATTCATCTTCATCCCTTCAAAACAGACAAAATTGGGGTAAAAGCCTACAAATTCGTCAAAGGCATCTAAAGCCTCAGTTTTTACTAGTGCTTCAAGGGAATCTGGGATTCAGGGAGGTAATGGGGAGGGTTTTGGGGATATTTGGTATATTTGTCTCCATCTTTTGGCACTTAAGGAAATGAGCAAGTTCAATCTGTCACCTCAAAACCACTCAATGCCCCTGAAAAGTACTCAAACCCACCCAAAATTCCTGGATTCCACAGCCACTCAGGGTGTGATGTCTTAAGTTTTAGCTTTCATATTTTTCATATTCCGCTTTGCCTAGGTTTGCAGTTTTGAACTTCCTATTAAGTGTTAGTGAGCTCTCTTCACAGAGTAGGTAGACAAAACAAGATATTCACTAAATTGTAATCTTTTACTAAATTGTTTTCCTTTTATACCAAATTGCTATCCAATCCATTAAATAGTGTTCTTTTATTAATTTTATCCTTGTATTCAATTCACTAAATTGTAATCTTTTACTAAATTGTTTTCCTTTTATACCAAATTGCTATCCAATCCATTAAATAGTGTTCTTTTATTAATTTTATCCTTGTATTCAATTCACTAAATTGTATCATTTTTTTCCCTTGTTATTTAATTGCTGTTAACTCAATCGATCTAGTTGTCTGATTTTAATTTAATTTATAACAGCACCAAGAAGAAAAGGGGCTTACTGAGAGCAAGCAAAATTAACCCTCTGCCAGGACACAAATTTAGAAGACAAAAAATTAA